GCAATGCCTATTTTCAATATCGTTCTGCCTCTATTACTGATGGTTTCGTGTGATAGACAATCTTAATGAAGCGAGAAAAGCCCATGTACTTCCTATTAGCCAGATGTAAATTTATGCGCTATTTGCACAGCACACTGTTGAACTTTGCATTGTTGCATTCTCTTCTTTCTAATTTTTGTCGTTCAAAACTGTCCTTGCTAACTGCGACAGCAATTGTCTCCACATGCAGAGACAAGCATGTTCTTCTATCTTTCCTCTGGCAACTGAATTACTGGGTGCATGTGCCGAGCGGTCTGAGCAGTCAAACGCCCAACAATCACGCCGCAGTGATGTCCCTGCCACGCCCCCTTCGCTCGTGACCTCCGACCTTCTTCTTGACCTCTACAACACTCTCCTTGGGGTCACGGTCCAGCTCGGACACTGCCTCCTCCTGGGGCCTGGGAGCCACCACTCCAGGCTAGGCATACCCGCTGCCCGGGTTTACTTTTGTGTTCCAATTCTCACATTACGTTTAAGCAAACAAACAAAACTTTGGAAGCCGCCGCCACGGGACTAGGGGTCCCGACCCTTAGACTTTAATGTATGGATTTTACTTGTGGTGATTTGGCCGAGTTGGAGTTTTTTCAGTATTTATTGGTTGGTCATTTGCAAATCTACTTCTTGTTCACTCATAGTTCATTATCTTTTTAATGTTTTTAAGAGTTATCTTAGTAATTTTTAGTATCGTAAGGAGAAAATCACACAATCACATTACACAACAGAACAAATACATGCAAACGAATTACGGGTAAATACATGCACAGACAAATACATCCACAATCAAATACAGACAAAATAAATACTCAGACAAAATAAACGCACAGACGAATACAAGTATAAACGAATACATGCACATACGAACGACAGATAACACACTACACTGACGTATCTATATGTGAACGAACACGACACTCGCCGAATGTTTGTTACGTAATCACTAAATGTAGCGAGAACACATTCTGAACACACCGTCGGCTAGCGCTCGCTTTTATCAGGGCACACGGAACGTAATTTACTTTTATCACTGGGATACATACCTGATCTGTGTTGCTACAGCAGGACTGCCAAAGTACCACAAAAGAAGTTCTCATCGACCTATGTCACTGGCAGCGGCAGAGTAGCGTCTTTTTCACGGTCCTGCCAGCTTTCCAGGGTTACCTCGGTGACCTGGCGGCGGGAACACAGGCTGTTTGTAAGCCTATGCCGCTTGACGTAACGAGCTGTTTATGCAATCAGACCACTACTGCAGCGGGTGAAAGTACGGTCATGGTGGTGTCCAAAGCCGTGCGTATCTACGTCCGAAGCCATGTAGGGGGATGACCTGGGCAGAGAGAGGTCGCGTGGGCCAACGAAGAGAGTGTTCACTACATCTGCACAAGCCAGCCACATACATCTTATGCCTTCACCTGCGTTACCATCTCCAATAAAGAGGCCACATGTTTCCCTGTGCCAATAGCGTAGAGGACCCAACAAGCAACCCATGATAGATTGGTAACAGTGATGTGATATCCACAACGCAGCACTGACAAAGAGAGAAAACGAAAGAAAGAGAGAGAGGGAGGACAAAAATAGAGACAGAGAGAAAGCGATCTCCAGACGAACGCGACGACAGTGGCAGCACAAGGACTGCCGGCTCCCCCGTTGACCTCCACATCACTGTCAGTATCCAGCCATACCAGTGGGAACTCACACCCACTACAAACACTCCCCAAAGAAATAAGACATCAGTACAAGTGGTAGATGCATACCCATCTACTACACTACTGAGGTTGAGCACCACAGAACTAAGTTTAATCGAGTCAGCAGCTGTCACACCCTAAGCGCGTCGGCATTGAACGGCACAGGCCGGCTCCGTCATATTCATAGACCAGGCGAGGTTTAAGTCCGCACATCTGGCTTATCCTTATCTTTAGTTTTAATCCCTCGCTTGTTTTGTCGCAAAATGTGTTTTAAAAAGTTCATGAAAAACAAAACGTGGTTTTCAGTTAACTAATAACAGGAAAAAAGAGATAAAACTGAGGTAAAAACTATGGAACTTGCATACTTGGAAACTAGGTACACTGTATTCTAATTAATTAGCGCTTTCGGAATGCCATTGAAAAGAGTAAGGACACATCCACGTAAAGACTGGTAGTAATCACATTCTGTTGATGGGCCACTTACGAAAGGACCTGAAGAAGTTGAAGTGTGGGAAGCTGCGGTTAAAAGTGCTGAAACATGATGCAAATGTGAAAGCCAAGTTCTGTCAAAAAAGTACAAGAAAGATATAGAAAAAGTGGAAATGATGGCAAAAAGTGGAAACATCCAGAAATTTTGGACCCAATGGAATTGAAACGCAGAGAGATGAAAGATAGGGATGAGTACAGAAGACTGGATAGAAAGATTGGAAAAGAAGAACATGCAAATGATGCATGGAAAAGTGAAAGCTGTAACAAATAAGACGTAGCAGAATGTATCTAGTTGTACAAAAGATAGAGCTAGATCAAGTTAGGATAAGGTGGACATTGCATCGCAGAACTATATTCAGAAGCGGATAGAAAAGGAAGAGCAACAATTAGGAACAGATGACTGGGCAACCGATAACAAGAAAAGAAGTAAGAGAAGCCATGAAGAAGATGAAAGTCAAGGCAGCAGAAAATGTTAGGACAGCATTTAGAAGCTTTGGGAGACTTTGGGCTTGATAAGATCACTGAAATTGCTAATCACGTATACAACTCTGAGGACGCTCCTGAGGAAATGCCTGAATCTATCTTTATTACCAGGAGCGAAAGATACAAAACACACGGAAGAATTAGCCTCAAGAGTCACTAACAAAGATAACCTTACAAGTAATGTTTAATCGGAATAAAAGTACCAGCAGGGAAGGGTATCGGATGAACCTTTTGGATACAAACCTGGAAAAGGAACAAGAAATGCAATTGTGTCTAAGAATGCTCATGTAAAAACCCATTGAAAAGCAGATGGACTTAGATATATGTTGCACAGACTATGTAAAAGCATTCAATTGTGTGAAACATGACAAACTGCTTTAATAACTAGAAAGGTTAGATATAGATAGGAGAGGTTTTAGGTTAATGAGGAATTTGCTCCATGACCAAAAAGCTGCTATAATGGAAAGCAAAAGCATTGGTTTGAAATCAAATTGCCAGAAAACATATGTGATGGTTACCAGCAAAAAGGCAGATTCCAGAATGTCGTGACGATGAATGGCGAGCAAATAGAGGAAGTCAATTCAGATACACAGGAAGTTGGATAACTTCGGAGATCAGATAGGGAGACTTATATGTAATTTATGGCCATGAGGGTGTATTGTGTGCAAAGAAGATAGGACTAGGAAAGCGTCTGTTAAGTGTTACAACTGGTCAGTGCTATTGTATGGACGCGAGTCATGGCCTATCGGCTATGACTCGCGTGGACATCAGAGATGGAAGGCAGCTAGGCCAGACTGCAAGAGACAAGATGGAGGGAAAGTGCACCATCATGATCCGTCTACAGTATTAGATGCCAAGACACTAGAAGAGGATACATGGACAGAATGCTGTTTGGAAGTTTATCAAATGGCAAACAGACGTTGAAGTACAGAGTCGAAGCCAAAGGAATGCGTTCGAATTTGCATACAAATTCAACTAATGACTAAAGTAATACCATTTCTTCCGTCTTCCGCAAAATGATAATGATGGCGATAATGCTAATAAGAATAATTATTCCTACTATTAGTAGTATCATTATAACTATAGTTATAGAAATAATAATCATAAGGATAGTACAGTCGGTGTAATTAATGAACAAGCACAATATGAATGTACTATTATTATCGCCATTATCATTATCTTTATTATCAATGTGTTTGTCATTGCTATTGTCATTTTTATTGTCTTTATTATTTATTATCATCATCATTATCAATGTATCATCATGCACCATTATCATTACTAATCATAATGGTCATCATCACCACATTGTGAATGGTAATTCTAACATGATATAGCGTAGTACAGCAGAAATCAAGGAACTTATGAAAATGTAGTAAAACTGTTGTTTTTAGGACAAATTATAATGCATAAATCTAGCCGTTTAGTACTCATTTACCTTAATAATCACATTCATTTTGTACACTTATAGAAACCGTAGTGCACAGACGCTGCATGTGTGAGAGAGCTGGTTTTGTTCGAGTGGTCCATTTTGACGTGATAGGTTTTCGTACGTCCGACACCGCCGAAACTTGAAATATATGCAAGTCTGTACCTCTTATAGTACCACTGAAGTATATACACAAGTATATTCTCTTTCGCGTTTAATTACCAAAATATGTTTATCTATGTAAGTGTGTCTTAGTACTATGCTAGTGTTAAAGTCCCCAGTCTGTTATAGATAATCATCTCCAGAAAAGCTATTAGAATAAACAATTGATGTTTTTTTTTTTACTGTTTAAGAATCAGTATTATTTTCAGACTTATGATCACTACCAGTGAGACGATTATTGGCAAAATGCTGTCTTATTGTTACAAAATTGTGAATAGAGATGCCTCTCATTGTAAAGTTTGCATGTGCATCGACAAGTAAGTTGGTCAAAGTAACGACTAGGAAGAAACAAGAGATGAGGAAAAGGTACAATGAAAGTCAGACTGTTCCCCATTCAAAGATTCACCTGTCATTTGCTTTTTGTAGTTGTATCTTCTTTATTAATTGTGAATTTTTTAAACAACATGCTATCGATCATCCACGCTTGGATCGCAGGAAAGTTCCAGTACAGTCAAACGTGTGATCTCTATTGACTTTTGTCACAAAATGAACAGATTCGAAATGCAGAAATGGCTCAAGGATCTGAACAATGCTTCTAAGCAAAACCAAAGGAATCAAATGAAATGAAAAGACCGAACACTTGTGGTTCCTTGAGAGAACGACTTGCAGCGACAGGATTGGGGTCGCCCTCTCACCCCTCCCCCTTGTCTGGACGGCGCTCAGAGAGGGGGCATCTCGCAAGCCACGTGGAAGGGCCCCGTCGGCCTGTGCTCGTGGGGCCCAGGCACCACCGGAGCAGGGGTAGTTGTGGTCGTTGTAGGAGAAGGAGGAGGAGGAGGAGGAGGTCCACCACATGGCACGTCGTTCACCAAGTAGACTGAAGTAGAGTAGTGTAGATGGCCGGCCTCCCCGCTAGGGTGCCCGACCTGCCAGTACAAGGAACCTGATGGCGAGAGACACTGGGTGAGGCGTCAGGTATGCCAGGTTCTTACAAGGAATACTAACGATGATGATCAAAACAACATTAATAATGATAATCATAATAATCATTATAAACCTAGTCATATTAATAATGATAGCAAGGCTGATCAAAATAATGAGCATGACATCAACAAAAACTATGATTATGATAGTAGTAATAATAGTAATAACAATAATAATAAAACAGTAATGGCGAAAACGTTAGAATTGAGAATGGTTGTTACTAATGATAATAATAATGACAATAGCAATTTTTATCATGATAATTCTAATCATATTAATTATAACAAATAAAATCTATTATAATAATAACAACTTTTTATGAAGGTAGCAATAGTAACACTAAACAAGAGATGATTATGATAAATACATTAATATTAACGTTAAGGAAAGTAATATGATGTGTGTGTGTAACAACCCTGCCTGACCAGGAAGGCCCAACGACGGTCTCCTCAGGTGATATTTCCAAAGATTCATGCAAGTGTTGCAGAATAAATGAGCTATGACCAATGTTCCTGAATAACGCTCCTTTCCATAGCACGAATTAGCAATTATCTTCAGGCAAAAAATAGAATTTCAATACACATTATTCCTTGTGGATCCCCAGCATAGAAACGATAGCAGACTCTTGGAAATGTAAGTATTACGTATACCAATATGATTTCCTATATTTTTAACGTTGTGTATCATGGAGAGAAACTAAGGATTCCCTATAATAGTATCTTTCACGCTGCAGTGCTCGGTCATGAAGATAAGCAGCCACCAAAGCAATGCCGTTTGTCGTCTGTCAATTCAATTCACATTCAGCTTATATTTGATCCAAGACAACGATAAAGCATAGAAAACAAGGAAAGTGCTAGACAATTAAAATTCCCCGATATCAAATGTGGAAAAGGCATGTTAATAAACGGTACTATAACCGGTTTGAAACCCGTACGAAAGGCCCACAGCAGTTGTAACTTACAAGGTGCTTTACAATGTGTGACGTCATAACATGGCTAATTGTTTCGAGCATCGCCTTCGGAGGCCTTACGACATTGTAACGGCTCGGCTGTGAGATGCGACATTGTAAACTGTTTTGAGTATCCGGCCGCAGGACTCTGTGCCACAGCCACAATGAGCAGGACTATACTAAGTGTAGCACACGACTCAGTAAAAGGAAAGTGTAACTGGGATCTTACTAGCTCCAAACATGCACACACACAAACGACCACACATGCCTGCATTTGTGCATAGCACAAGAGTCCTTACCCATCGGCACTTTAGAATGGTCACCAAAGAGGAATTCTCCAACGTCGTTCAGCTGGCCATCAACGAAGATAATTTCGCTCCAGTTTCCTGAAAGGTACGGGTCAGAGGTCAAGATTATTTTCATAATCCCTACAGTTAGACGATGGCAATAGTTAACGCCTGGAGAGTATGGAGCGCATGTGAGTGTGTGCATTTGCACTGCAAGGCCACCGGCCTGAGTCGACGCCATTCCAAGCGAGGGGAATTGGCGCAATCACAAACCTGCATCAGCTTCGACAAAGAAGTAGAACTCCCTCATGACTCCCGGGTTGTTGAGTCTGAGCAGGTCGCCTCCTCCGGCAGCGCAGCCCTCCTGCGCTTTCTGGAAGGCGTCCACGAGGTACGGAAGGACGAGCACACACCGATCGAAAATGAGGGTTGTATTCTCTGGACAGACGACCTCTGTCGGCATGGGAGGCTCGGGCGCTGGAACACGCAAGCCCTATTTAGTGTGCTGAGGGAGACAATGGGTTCATTAGTGTTACTCTCAAAATCTCAACTGATTTCCCTCCACTGTTCTGCAAGCAAGGAAGCTTCGACCGACCTTCCCCACACACGCACAGGCCGGGCTTGAGATAGCCGCAGGGGAAGTCACGCCAGTAGTAATCTCGACTGCCCTGGAGAGCCACGCAGCCGGCATCCATTCCGCCGGAGGGCCGGTAGTACTCCAGGTCCCAGAAGGGCGACCCGAGAGGCATGTCTGAGCCGTCAGAGAACCGCCAAGCCCTGTCGCCATTGTCATCAGAGCCGTCCAACCAGTAGTCGTGGAGTCCGGCTGCGGATTTTTGTCATCGGTTACTGAGCTGCTTACTTTACTGATGCTCAGATGTGCATCTCCACTATTTCGTTGCTTATGAGCGCGACACAAACCTCGGCAACAACAACACTGACAAAACTCACGCATCTCCTCCCTCAGAGTGTGAATGACGTCGTCGAAGAGGAACGGGT